TTGATAAGATTTTTTCTACGTCGAGAACGGAGGAGGGGGCTCCCATTTGCCCTCAAGGGACACACGCAGCGGGATATACGCTCGATTCATTGAGGACGTCGAAGATGTGTGGATATTTGGCCTGATGATCACTGGATTTCTTCTGATTGGAGTGGGAGGATATCTGGTTTTCCGAAAAATTGGGATGACGGGAGCGATTGGAGGGCGACCCGCACCCATGGACAGCACCGTCCGGGCGCAGACCTCACAGACTGGGACGTTACTCGAGGTGAATCGTAAGCTGGACAATGTCTTAGCTGCGTTACCGGTGTTTGTGCGCAAAATGGATGTCATCTCGGAGAGGGTCACCGGATGGTGTGGAGATGTTTAATCACCCGAATTTAGCTTAACTGAAGGACTGGAATGACCAGTTACAGACTGAAGGCAGAGGGAAAATTATCTCTGCCTGACCCAAACACAGTCTTGTTATCCTCATCTGACGCCATGCAGCCTTGAAGCTGCAAGTAATCATCCCCCACGAAGGAAGGAATGCAGACAGATGCTGTGGAACTCGTCCTAATATACTCTTCCTGTAATAAAATTATTGTTTTTAAGCAACACAGCACATTGTTTATTATTTAACCCACACATCACTTTTATTACTCCCCTCCTCATCTCTCCTAGAGAGCCGGGGATGTAATAACGTGGGGGCTCGTCCGGGATTTTCCTTTATTTTCCATCTTATCCCAACATTTTTAAGTGTGTGCAAAAATATTAACATTGTGTTGTGTCCCTTAGAGTCAGAGCATGGCACCCTTTGACCTGCATGCGTTTGTGGCGGCTCCTTCGCGCCAGCTTCTGGAGAGTTGCCGCAAAGCCGATCTGCAGGAGGTTGCCGCCCATTTCAGTCTCCCCCTTCCGAAGCAACTCTACAACTTCTGGTGGTGGATTATTTGGAAACACAGGGACCCCTCCCTTCGCCATCCACTCCTGGTGCGTCTCTGCCGCCCTCGGATGAGGAGAAGGGCCGGCTCGTCCAGAAGAGGGAGACCCTTGCTTTGGCTCCGCCTTCCTCCTCAGCTGACCGCTCACCTCCAGCTTCCGTCTCGTCCTGAGCTAGTCCTCCCAGCTCACCACTAACCGGAACTCGGATAAAACTACGCTTGGCTCACCTAAAGATCCAGGCAGAGGAGAGAGCTCATGAGCGACGCCATTAACTGGATTTAAAACATATGGACACCGAGGCTTGCCTCCGGGAGCTCGAGCTACAATTAGCCACGGTGAAAGCTACTTCCTCCTCGAGCTACCCCCTCGCCGCTGATCACCCAGCTGCCTCGTCTCTGTCTCCACACAAACTGTCTCAAGACGCCACGTCTCCTCCGGCTGCCGCTTCATTGCCACCCGCTTTCGATGTCTCCAAGTGTGTTTCCCTTCTTCCTCCCTTTCGAGAGACTGGAGTGGATGGGTATTTCCTTGCTTTGGAGCGGATTGCGGTGACTCTCCAGTGGCCTCGTGAAGTTTGGTCGTTGCTTTTGCAATGCAGGCTCTCAGGTAAGGTCCTTCAGGTAATTTCGGCTCTGTCTCTAACGGACAGTTTTAATTATGAGTGTGTAAAAGCCTCCGTGTTAAATGCATATGAACTCGTTCCTGAGGCTTATCGTCAGCACTTTCGTTCAGAAAAACCTCGGCCTAACCAGACTTATGTTGAATATGCTCATGAAAAATCAGTTCTTTTGAAAAATGGTGTTCTGCTTCAGGGGTAGACTCCTTAGCTGACCTGAAAGAGCTAATTATGGTGGAGGAGTTTAAAACACACGTGCCTGAGAGGCTCGTTTTGTATTTGAATGAACAGAAGGTCTCAACTCTCTGCTGCGGCCCTGTTAGTAGATGAGTTCGCGATAACGCATCGGTCTTGGGAGTCAAGAGCTGACCCCGGTCGACGTAGGAGACCCTCTAATACCTCCTCTGACCCTAGTGACCTTCCAGAATGTTTCTATTGTCACGAAAAAGGTCATTTCATTAGGGATTGTTTTCGTCTCCAGCGGAAAAACCGGAGGAGCGTGAAACCACCTCCACCGAAGCCAGTCGCTGCGTGTGCTGTTGTCCCAAACAGGTTGGATAACTGTGAAACCCCTCACTCGAGTTTTAAGCCGTTTTTATCTGCTGGAGTGGTGTCTCTGTTAGGAAGCCATATTGGCCAGGAAGTAGTGATTTTAAGAGATACCGGAGCTGCTCAAACCCTGATTAAACGGAGTGTGTTACCGTTTTCTGTAGCCAGCCAGGCTGGTTCTTCTGTGTTGTTGCGGGGTATTGATATGGGTTCTGTTCCTGCGGAGCTTCATCATATTCACCTCACTTGCCCTTTGACTACTGGTGACCTAAAAGTAGCCCTTTTAGAGAAGTTACCGATCCAGGGAGTAGACATGATTTTGGGAAACGATGCTGTTGGTGAATTAGTTTTACCTCCTCCTGAGCTCAACTTTCCCCCTGAAATCTGTGCCAATTCAGACTTACTACCTGCTTGTGTCCTAACCGGTGCTGAGCTGAAGAACCCCTTGGTGATTCAGTGTCCCCGCTGCTAGCTGACAATGTCACCCGACCAGCTCTGGCTGTAAAAACACCTGATCTGGCCTCTAGAGGTCCTCGAGTGGTTTTGCCTGTTTCTCGTAAATCGTTGGCTGACGTTCAGAAAACAGATCTAAGTCTGGCGTCCCATTTTGCTCGAGGGGAACTTCTCTGTTGTGGCTCAACCTCTGACAAACATGTTGAGTCCTCTCATTCATTTCTCATGGACCCTGAGATGTCAAACTGTTTTTGTGTCTCTGCGAAACCTCCTCTGTTCTCCCGTACAAATCTCACCCTACCTTTCAAGCTGGAAGACGACGCCAGCCAAGAATGGGCTGGAGCTGTCCTCATCCAGGAGGATGACACCGGGATTGGTCTTCTAGTATGCTGTTTCTCTGGGAAGTTCAACCGCGCACAGTTTCTCTCTCAGAAGGGATCTGTAACATTTTCCTGTCTAAGTTAAAACAGTTCATTAATTCCTAATTTCGTTCAGACACCACCCTCTAGACTGGCCAGCGGCTGATGTGTTGGGCCCTCCTGCTCCAGGAAGTCAACCTGGAGATTCGCCACGAGAGGGCTCCGTCATCCTCATCACGACCGCTTTGTCACTCAGTTTCGATCATGAGGCTCCCTTGTAGGCTTTTGTGTTTTAGATGTCGGATCCTCCTGAAAGGCTAGTGTTGTCTGTGCAAGCAGACATCTCGGGAACACTCCGCAGCGCTGGGGAACAGCAAGGAGTGATTATTTGTGTTTAATCTGCCCGCCTTGAGAAGGTCCAAGGGTAGTGTAGACTCGTCAGGTTTTACACTGTTCTCTTCTCCTCTGTCACTTCCTTTTGATAATATTCGGTTCGTTCACTATTTTCGATATACTCTTTTGGAATTTGGATTATAGGATTTGACAATTTGGCATCTAGACTTCGGAACGGTTATACACTTCGGCTTTGGATCTCCCCCGCTCCTGTTTATTCTCAGTTGTTTATCCCCATCCCCTTCTGGGTTGGCGCTTTTCGTTTCTCCCTTTTAAATATTGCTCCTTTGTTTTGTATATAGTGTTGTTTTTAGATTCTTTGTACATATTCCGTTCATTTTGTAATAAAGATTCTTGTTTTTTTAAGCGACACAGCACTTTGTTTATTAAAACCACACACTACTTTTATTACTCCCCTCCTCATCTCTCCTAGAGAGCTGGGGATGTAATGATGTGGGGGCTCGTCCGGGATCCAGGGGTAGTTAGTTTTTCTTTTGTTTGTGTGTTTAGATAGCGGGAGACTTCGGTTCTTTTGAATAAATGTTGGATCTTTTTACACCCCCATTTATTTTCTTAGGGGGGGGGGGTGTTACGTGTCATGGCCCTTTTCGGCCACAAGATGGCCTCAGTGGCCTTTGCCTCACCTGTCTCCCGGTGCCCCAGCTGTTTGACATCAGTAATTAGGGAGCAGCTGTTAAAAGCTGCTCTCCTGCCCTCAGTCAACGAGAAGGCCCAAGGGTAATATAGACTCGGCTGAGTTTGCACTATTCTCTTCTCCTCGTTCGCTTCTGGTGTCACTTGTTTGCTCATTAGACTTTGGAATTAGACTTGTTTTTGGAAACTGGACTTAGATTAGACCTGTTGGTATTTAGACTTCCGGCCCGCTTTAGACTTTGACCTCGGATCTCCCCTTTTGTATATATATATATATTTCAGTGTTTCCCCTAGGAATTTTTCCAGCTGTGGTGGTGGTGGGGGTGGGGTGGGGGGGGGGGGGGGGGGGGGGGGAATTATGACAAGTCTCTAAATAAAGTAAAATTTTCCAGTGCAGATTGGAGACAACCCATAGAAGCACTGATTTGATCTCATTTCAGTTAAAAATAGAACAGGTCAGAGGCACCTCATAAATAAAATTACTAACAAACTCAGGAATCTTTCTTTGCTTCACTGTTTTGGTGCTGAAAATATCACTAATGTGGATCAAAGGAGATACACAGATGAATGCACCTCTTATTTATTATTTGGAGACTACATTTACTGCAGCTGGCAGAGGCAGAGATTTTTTCTATTGATACACGGAATTTACAGAATCATTTTAAATTTTAATAGGGGAAGACTGCAGGAGGAAGCGGTAAAATACAGGGGGTCCCCAGCAAAAACAAGGAACTACGAGTCTGATGAAACCAGCTGGATTTCCATCAGGCAGTCACGGGGCAGCTCCAATGACCCAGTGGCTGTGCTGGGGTCAGTTATCGAGCCCAGTCCGGTACCGGCTCGGCCGTGAACGAGCCGAGGCGACGTCGTCCTCTGCTTAAGAAGAAGCGTTATTTTCCCGCTTCAGAAGAAGTGTCCAACGTGTTTTTATGCTTTCTCTGAGACATGTCACGTCACTAAGTTGTTAGCGCCGCGCGCTAACACGTCAATAGTGCAACGTAGCCTGCTGGAGGTTTTAAGGGTTCAGATAAAAACACCCGACCTCTCAGCTGCTCATACATCGATCTTAAAGAGCAAGTAACGTCTAAATTAACTTTTTTTTGCTGATGAACTGTATAAATGAGTGTCTAATAGTGTTTTAAATGTGTGCATTCTTTATTTTAGCATTTTGGTGCATTTTCTTTAAAAATTAAAAATTCTGTCTAAAAACCACAGTAATGCGCCACCTTCAGCTGAAAACATAGAATTTGAGTCATTTTGAATAAATTTTAGCCAATGGCTAAAGAGTAAAGTACTACGTAAACCAGTAGAGTACTACGTAGCAGCTCCGTGCCAAAGTTATAAAAGCAACGAGCGTCTCGGCCACGCCCTGTGGCGAGTGGGAGTTGGATTTGCAAGCGAGTGTAGGAGGTCAGCGGTAGTTCAGCATTAGCATATAGCATTAGCATATCCTAGTCTTTAGCATATCTTTTAGTGTTATAAATACTTATTTAGTGTTAGCTTGGCTGTTGTATATTGTAGTTTAGTTAGTGTTTGGCTGTTAGTGTAATTGGGAAAGTATTTCGGGTTTAGTGTTCCATATCGTCTTAGTATTGGTGAGTAGGTGTAGTGTAGTATGGTTGCGGTGACTCTGTGGGCATTTTACCCGCGATTCTGCACGCCTCCGTTTGAAGAGGGAGGCTGCCCACCGTGGCTCTTCCGCGATTTAGATGCAGCCCACCGACTCTGCTCCCCCACCACGGCGGGCTCCAGTCTGAGGTGAGTCAGCTAAATAAACGTTTTAACATCTTCTAAAGACAATTCCCTACCTAAATGCAAAGTCTGAGAGACGTGGTTCACTTCCTTTAGCTAGTCAGTCGGCAATTCTGCAACAGTGTCTCTAACTAACGCTGCACTAGTTGACAGCATTACAGCGTGAAATCCAGCTTGTGACCCGGTTCTGTGAGGAATTCTGTTCAGGAGGTCGCATTTCAGGCTCTCCACATCATATGTGACTGACTTTTACGTTATAACAACGATCACACACTAGGAATGTTATAAAGCGCCTATATAGGAGATTCTTTTGTATATTATCTGACTTTATAAACTCCCAACAACAATGTGCTTCTATTTTTTTTTTCAGGCTAAATCTACCCAAGACACTGGCTGTCAGACTGATTTAGCTGCAAGAATGCACTTGTCCAGGCTGACGTGAAACCTTCCCTGTAGCAAAGGTGAATTATTTTTAATAATCTTCTATGTAAACATTTTATTATTACCGTCTAGTTTTAATTTGTTTTACAGATTATTTTTACACGTGATTTTATGCTCTTTTAAACATTTATAAATGTGCTGCTTCTTTGTTTTTACATAGCCAGCCAGAATGGAGTTCACAGCCGCAGTGTGTCTGGTGACCCACGGGGACCATGATGAAAATTCATCTTCCAGAAGGTCCCAGAGCGTCCAGACCCCCTGAAAAGACCAAGATGTAAGGTGTCTGCTGTTGATTCCAGCTTCCACCTCAGTGACAGTGCAAGCTCAGTGAACTGTTCAAGGTAAAAAAAAAAAAAAATTAAAACATTTCAGAATTTTTAAGATATTAACAATTAAATAAGTATGTGATTACATCATGAAGGAGGCTACTGATTCTGCCCTGTGACACTTGGTGGTGACGTGTGAGCTGATTCTCCTGGAAAATAACTTTTACATTAAATATTTTGTTTTTGCTATCAAAAGTAAAGTAACTAATAACCTGCATTATTGCAGGACATTCAGCAAAATATGGACTCTACACCATGAGGCATGCACACATTAATATTCTATAAGAGCACATAAGGTGAGCAACACCACATATTGTACACTGTCCTGAATTTGTTTTCTTTCTGCATCTCATTAGCCTGGCTGATCACCTGATAACTCCTGTCATCTGGTTATGACAGCATGAGGATGTCCTCACACACCTGTAACCTATCAGATCATCTGGCAGAATAGAGAGAGAAGAGACAACACCACATCTCCTGTTCCTGGAAAGCCTTCAGCCATCCTTCGATGACTGAGAACCTCCATCAGCTCTGTCTCCTGTCTGCCTACAATTATTATAATAAATATTGTGTTTGACAAGTTTTTTGTGCTGCCAAATATCTCATTTAGATTCCAGTTTTGATATTTTAATGGATATTTATAAATTACATTGAATATCACATTTTTGTTGCATGTTTAACTAGCTCTATTGTGATTAATTAAACTAGCACCTCACTGTTAAAAGCTCGTTCTAATTTCAAGCATGTTTAAGTATTTATGGACATGAACAAAAACAGGAAATATATATATTGAGATTTATTTAATTAATATAACAAATAAGGGGGAAAGAGTCATCGAAAGGCACATTCTTCTGGAAGTTCCTGATCCTGAGGACACCAGCAGAGACCAGCTGCAGACACCAGAGGACCTAGAACCAAGAGAGCAGCTGTTATTAGTAAATAAATAAAGAAATCAGGGCAGTTTTAGTGGGCTGAACACATTACAGAATGATTTTCTCATGGGGTATTTTCATAACTTTATATGCAGCAGACTGTAACTTGAGCCCAGGGCTACCGGAGAGCTATCCAGCATGTTTCAGTGGATTTTCCTGCTTTAACAGGTTAGATTAGCTGTTAAGCAGCTCAGCTATTTGTTGCTGATTAAAACCAGGTGTGCTGAAGCAGATAAACCTCTAAAACATGCTGAATACTAGCTTTTTAGGGCCGTGGAGACAAACCCTGCAGCTAATCCAATGCTATGGCTAACAGCTACTTACCTTTCAGAGGTGATTCTGTTGGGTCGGTTCTGGGAGTTTCAGGCAACTCACAAGCTCAAAACAATAAGACTCAGGTCCGCTTGTCTCCTCCAAATAGACTTGGTCCCTTTCTTCTCGAGTGTCTGTGTAAGGAGGGGGAGAAACGTCCTCCACTTCTATCAACTGCTCAGAGTGAAGGGAGCTAGCTTCGTCTAGTTAGCCATCGTCTTCGTCACTGCCGCGGCTCCGCCCTCTCGGTCCTCCAGGCAACGCCTACTAATGTTGCATTTTTTAAAATTGATACGTGGGTGGAGAAGGACTCCGAGGCTCAATTGACCCGCTCTTTAAGTTGTCGCTGTTGCGCTCACGCCGTAATACAGTATTAGATGCGGTTAAAGTCAGACATAAAAAAAATAAATACATTTTACATGAAAAAGTGATGCTTAGCCTGGTGGGGGAGGAGAACCTGGCCTAATAAGCACTGGAGGAAACCCTGTCAAGATCGTCAACACTCGTTTATCTTAATGCTATTGAAACAAGTAAACCAAAAAGCATTACAGTGATCCCTCGCTACTTCGCGATTCGTTTATCGCGGATTCACGACTTCGCAGATTTTTTTTAGCCTTATTCAAGGGAAATTCGCCAATTCCCGGTAGTTTTCACCGGTTCGCGGTATTTTTCTATGCAAAATATCAAGAAATTCCTGTTTTATTTCATCATAAAATGCACTTTTTGTAATAAAACTATAAAAAACCAAGTAAAAAAATGTTTTTCTTGAGTTTTACCCACAAAAAGAGAATGTGGTCATACGATAATTCAATATAGTACTGTATGTCAGACTGGTCGGCTGGATTCGGGAGTTGAGCTTGTAGGGAGCGTGGTTTCACAGACGCGGAAGTGATAGCGTCGGTGAAACGCCGGCTCAGGATTAATCTAGGAAACCCCCGAGCGTTCGAGCGTCAACGAAGTGACACGGAAATGCCGGGCTTTCCAGAAGTAAGTAAGATAACTTACTATGAGCTGATAGTTTGTGGGATGGATCGGTAGGTTGGAAACTCTGATCATGAATATGCGTGTGTGTGTGTGTGTGTGGGTATGTATATATGTGTGTGTGTAAATGAACATGTGTGTGGGTAAACATGTTTTTATGTGTTTTTTTAGGTATTTTTATTCTCATTTATTGTGGTTTTTGTCTGTGTTTAGAGAGCGAACACCTACCGAAGACAAATTCCTTGTAAATGTAATTTTACTTGGCCAATAAATTTGAAATCTGAAGAAACGATGACTGAGTGATGAGCTGGAAAGGCGACTTCCGTTTATAGCCGCGGTTTGTGACGTAGGTGCGACGTGGAGGGAATCCCCTGTGAGGGGCATGCTGGGAGTTGTGGTCCATAGTGGAGGCCGGCTAGCTGGAAGAGGCTGGCCTGGGAACTTGGGTTCTGACACTGTACTGTAAATATGGTGTCCCTACTTCGCGGATTTTCACCTATCACGGCCAGGTCTGGAACGCATCTACCGCGATAAACGAGGGATCACTGTATATCCACTGCTACCTTTCTAATTTTGAACTCAGTAACTTATGCTGTAACTGCACCTTGCTCTGCCTGCTCCTCCTTGCTGCCCGCCGGCTGTGATCACAAGCGACAACATAGTAGTTCCCGCTGCTTCTTCGGGAAACAGCGCAAAAAAAAAAAATAATAATAAAACTTGGGATCTTGTAGGCGTGGCGGTAAGATTTCAGCCGTGGCGGGCCGCCACGGCTACACCTATGTGAGGGAAACCCTGTATTTATTATTCTCGGTTTTCTCCACACCCCCTTCTGGGGTGGCGTTTTTCGTTATCCCGTTTTGTATATAGCTCCTTTTGGTTTGTATATAGATATCGTTAACATCCGTTGTAAATATTCTTTTGTTTGTAATAAAATTCTTGTTTTTAAGCGACACAGCACGTTGTTTATTATTTAACCCACACATCACTTTTATTACTCCGCTCCTCATCTCTCCTAGAGAGCTGGGGACATAATACATGGGTGCAGAAATATTTGAGGGAGGAAAAAAAGGAAATTGGTCACTACTTTGACCCTTGGCACATGGGAAAAGGTCATCTTTGGGGATATATATTGTGAATAATACTGGGTTTTGTCAGTTATAGATATTTGAGTATGTTTTGCTCCTCAGGAATTGGAAAGAAAATGGATGAGATGGGGAAGAGAAAGGCAACACAAGATGTGGGACTGTGGAAGCAGAGTGTCGTTAACCACCTCTATTGGTCTGCCTCAACTTCATCATCAGGACAGGAGGCGGTCGCAAAGTGGGCCTCTGTTGCAAACCACATCCAAAATGTCCACAGCCATGAAGGACAGTGGCTCAAACCAAGTAAGTGTATCACTTAATCATTACAGCTGAGTCCTCTGTGTTTTGTTCCTTTACTTTTAGGACAAGTAACACCCCCCCCCCCCCCCCCCCCCCCCCTCCCCACATACTGAGCATTAACAAAACACTCTTCGGCCTGTCAAGAGCAAATGTCTCATGTTAAATAGGTTGTTGAGCATTTTAAAATAAAGCTTTAAAATGTTTTAAGTCAAGTTAATCCATTGAGTGTTCACCATTATTTGTGTTTTGGGGATTATTCCTGTTAAATAATATGTTTAAAATGACATTAGTATGTTTTATTTATTTATTTATTTGTTTGTTTATTCATTTTTTGTCATTTTTATTGTAGAACAATTTTAAGGTAAAAAAAAACAAGTTCAGATTTAAGCTATCACTTGAGTACTGGAAGCTCACAAATAAGTACCTGCAATCTAGTTTATTGAGGTAAATTTGAGTACTGCAAACTCAAAATGAACAAGTAATTAGAAAACAGTGATTTATGTAAATTTGAGCAAATTCAAAATGAACAAGCAATTAGAAAACGGTGATTTGTGTAAATTTGAGTTCTACAAGCTTAAAATAATCAAATTGTTAGAATACAGTTCTTTATGTAAATTTAATTACTGCAAACTTGAAATTATCGCGCTGTTAGAATACACTTATTTAGGTAATTTTGAGTACTGCAAACTCAATTAGAATACAGTCATTTGGGTAAATTTGATTACTGCAAACCTGATATTATCAAGTTGTTCGAATAGTTATTTAGGTAAATGTAAGTACTGCTAACTCACAAAAAATTTGCTAATCCAATCTAATCTACATAAGCAACAATTGCTTTTATTAAGGCAGCATATTTTTTAAGTATAGTCAACTTATTATATTTTACAGTGCACCCAATACAATGATATGTTGGTCTATGGGTGCTTTGAATGTTCAAAGCAATGTTCTGACCAATCAAAATCATCATTGTCAACATGCTAACGTAACTTTTACGAACATGGTATCGTAATTTCTGTAAGTCCAGCGACACCATCCAGGGTGTGTCTCTTGCTCACAATCAGGCCTCATACATGTCTTTTTGGTGTCTGCTGCTCTCTTGACTCTCCTTGTTCAGCTCCTTTTACATCTTGTTAATGAGTCCATTGCACCTGTGGGCATTCCACACCTGTTCCCATCAGTTCAAATTAGTGTTTCTGGGAGGCACCACAAAGGAAAAAAAGACATTGAAAACTACATGTCAAAAATTATTAAACACAAAACATGCAACTTAAAGAGCAAGTCAACCCCTACCAGATTCTAACTCCACTCCCACTTCCTGTTTGAAAAATGCAACAAATGCTGTTGCCTGGCAGACCGAGAGGGCGGAGCTGCTAACAAATACACACACAGGCTCACGACAACATTGTGACATCATAATGTACCAGTTTACATCATAGCATACCTCTTAGCCAATAGCTGTGGTAGATTAAAATTAGAATACAGTGCAGAGTTTTTACCTGACAACGGCACAACACTGCCAGTTTTAGGCAGAATATTTAAATTTTAACTAAGATGCACTGAAGTGCCAAATTATTGACGACACATGTCTGCAGCACGATTAGACACTTGTTTATTTAGTTTATCAGCAAAAAAAAAGTTTATTTGGGGGTGACTTGCTCTTTAAATACAAATATGGCAAATACAAACAACAAAACACGCTACTTTAAGTAAATCCAAAACTTTTCCACTTTGTGACATATGCCTGTTTATGAATAGTCAACCCAGAGACCTTGAGCTCAAGAACACACCCAGTCAGGTGTACCAGCAGCAGCCTTTCACGTATGCGCTGGCTACGCACATGTTCAACGAGCCGGTCCCTGATCATCTCGTCTTGTTTATCTTCAAAGCCACATGTTGCAGCTAACTCTCTTAAAACGGCCACATACTGCAGAATAGTCTCAGTCTGAGCTTGCGCGCGTTTTCTGAAAGCATGGCACTCAGCGACAACAGTATTCCTTTTAGGATTAAAGTAAGCCTTCAGAGCCATAATGGCGTCTTCCATCGACATACCTTGGTCTGGGAGAGTGTAAAACAGCCGCTGACCTTCTGTCCCCATGTAGGAGAAGTGCTTTTTTTCTCTCCTCCGGCCAGTCATTTCCCGACGCAGCAAGCACTAGCAAGTAATTCTGGAACATTCTTTCCCACATGTCGAGCTGTATGCTAGACTCACCCGGACACGGACGAAAAGGAGGGGGAGAAGGCGTAG